TGACCATTGTCAAACATGGCAGATGAAATGTGTTCAGGGTCAAAGCCTTATCACATATGAAAAATTTGGTCCAGACTGGACAATGCATGTGTGGGTGGCAGCATATTAAAATTCCATAGCGAATGATCAAAATTCGCTGTGGTGCCACGACCACCCCCTTTGAAGAAAACTCAAAAGCTCCGCAGTTTAATATGGCCCAGATCTGTAGTTTAGACTGACCAAATATGAAGTTGAGCCGATAAAATCCCTGGGAGTTTGCAAAAGTACAACAAAATCAAAAGTTTCAACCAAAAATATTGCAGTTTTATGAGTTTTTGAGCATGTTAAAAAGACCAATTTGGGATAAAACAATAGTAATAATAAATGGAGCAATTGCAATGGGGCCTATCTGACTTCACATACATTATTTAATACAGGGTTTAAGTTTAAACTTCAAAATCACTTCATTACATTTTCTTCTTTTCTGTGTTATTCTTAAAATAGAAAATCAATTTCCCATTTCCCATTTGAACATTCACTATGGATATAACTCAAGTTTCAGTTAAAGTAATTATACTTCAGTTAGATTTGTCTTTAGCATGTTCTCACATGACCATTCATTTGAACATAATCCCTTTTTCAGTGAAACATGGGAATATTTTCTTCACTTTCTCTTTAAAACTCTGGCCATTTCTCAATATGCGTATTTGTATGTACTTGAGTTGTGATACGTCATCAGTCGCAGTTTCGAAGGCAAAAAAAAGATGTTTACTTTATAATAAACTTGTTAGTTATATTAGCTAAATTTTATTTTCACAAATGCAAATACAGTAACAAAAAGCCTAATTTTAAACATTACTATAATGATGTTTTATGTCACATAAAATTGATTCGTGGATCACTTAACAAAAAGGCTATGAAAACTGTTACTATTTGTAGTAATTACAAATTATTTGAATGTATGTAATTCTTTGTATTACACCCCCTGGCATATGTTAACTTTGTTCTGGTTATATACATGTTCTGTATACTGTTTCTTAATAAAGTTTAATAATTTTTTTTTAAAAAAAAACGTCATCAGTCGCACTACGCTCAAAATGCCCGGATGTGTTCTCGCTCCTCCCATTCTATCGAGCGTGCAGGCAAATATCCCAGAATGCATTTCGTCCAAAACTCAAATGGCGGAGGAGGGCGGGTAAAAAAGTTTGAAATATTACTGTTTCTGTGACACAAAATAAACTTTTAAGAGATTTTCATGCGATGATGTAGGTGTGTAAATTACAAGGTCAAGGTTCACTAGAGCCAGCTAGCACACCTGACTCCGGACACATCGTTGTTTTCCAAAAATGGCAGGAAATGAAGCCACGTCGTGCATATTAACTACAGTTATTGGTGCGACCCTTTTTGGTACAGCTGACCTTACTTAGCAATTAAACCCGTGTGTTGTGTCTGACTACTGCTTTGTGGAGAGGCGGGTGCT